ATGAGTATGTCATCTAAGTAGATTGTGACAAATAAATCAATCATGTCATGGAAAATTTTGTTCATAGTAGTTTGGAATGTAGCAGGAGCATTGCTGAGACCAAATGGCATGACTAGCCATTCAAAGTGTCCATATTTAGTACAAAAGGCAGCCTTAGAAGTATCTTGTTGAGAGATGCGAATTTGATAATATCCTTAAGCAAGATCAAGTTTTGAGAAGTATTTTGACTTGCCAAGACGGTCCAGAGATTCCAGAATGTTTGGCAAAGGTGTGCGGTTCTTGTGTGTAATTTTGTTTAGAGCACAGTAAGTTTTCAACGTGATGGAGCAAAAGTTGGATAGTTTTGATAGAGCAGTTTTCAATCAGTGGGTCCATAAAGACAGTAGTAAGTTCAGATACATTAGAAATCGTTGGCATGGTAGAAGAGTCTGTGTTAACAATAGTGTTAATGTTTGATGATGGCACTGTTGCCAATAGTTGATTCTTCAATGGTTTGGGCAGCATGGTTGATTGAGACTTTCTTGGAGCTTGTTTTAGACATTGGGGACTTGATGTTGTTGTTTTGAAAGGTTTGACAGGCTCTGAGCTTGTCACAATGGTCTGTATTGTGTTGTTTAGATTGGCAGTAGACACACCTTTGGAATGAAAATATTGTTTCTGTTCAGGTGTAAGGCGTCAAAAGGGCTTTTGTTGTTGTTGGACATTGTCAATTTCAATTGGGTCATTGAGTTGTGGAAATGTGTTGGATAGACGCTGTGTTTGAAATTGGGTAGTGTTACTGGTGTTCTGATGTTTGGTGGGCTGAATTTTGGCCTGTGGTTTGCGATTGCAGCAAAAATAAAGGTCATCAATTGTTTCAGCTTCTTGTTCAAGTCATTATGGATTTGGTAGAGATCAGGCATAGTTTGAAGATGAGACTTGAGTCCATTAAGATACTTGACACACAGATGTTGTTCAGGATAAGTGACACCAGCAGCAAAGATTGCAGAGACAAGTTCATTGAATGCAGCAGAGTATTAAGTAGCAGCTCCAGTTTGATGTAGGTCTTCTATAGCTTCCACAGCTTGTGACAGAGTTAAAGTAGAGCCAAATGTGTGTTGAATTCATTCTTTATAGAAGTCCCAAGTTGCTTCAGTGTGTTGTTGTTCAGTAAGTTGTCTCCAGGCAATATGTGCACGTCCTGTGAGTCCAGATGAGACAAATTGAACATAGGTTGGCTGTCCAGCGAGTAGTAGTGTCAATAGTTTTTGCAAAGTTGTACAATTGGCAGATTTCCAAAGAGCGGTCCAGGTAATCATCTAAAGAGTTTTGAAGCTCATGAGTGGCTTTACCTTTAAAAATTCCAGAAAATTCAAAGGGCTTGACAGAAGGCATTTTAAAGTCAGGTAAGCGTCTTTATGATGAGTTGAGACCAGTAGTAAAGTTTTAAGAGCTTCCAACGGTGGGATCAAGTGCATTGAGTTTTTCTGTCAAAAGGTTAATGACTTGATTTTCCTCAGTGATTGTACGTTGGAAGGCTTCCAGGTTTATTCCTTGATTGGCAATTGTTTGTTCTAGAGCTTGTTGTTGAGCAATGAGGCATCTCACAGCTTCATCCAAGGCAATAGTTTCCTCAGTATTCATAGTAAGATCCATGATGGAAAAATGTGGATAATAGTAGAGTAGTAGTAGTAGAAGTAGTAGAAGTAGTAGAAGTAGTAGTAGCAGTAGTAGTAGTATTCAGAAGAGAGAGGTTTGTATAGCCGGTACTACCAAATGTTACAGGATGAGCCTCTAGTTAGTGGATTTAAGAGCCAAAGAATTAGGTTTTAGAAGATTTGTTTTTATTTGCATACATAATTCAGGTTTTTATAGTTTTGGATTTGAAAAAGAAAGAAAGAAGTTTCGAGAAAAAGAAAATTAAAGAGAAAAAAAAGAAAAATAAGGAAATAAGGAAGTAACAATAAAAGTGAAATAAAAGTATAAGAATTGATAAAGTGATAGAGAAAATATAGAAGAATAAGATGTCACTTGAAGTAGATCTTGATTGTTTTTGGTTCTTGAGTTATTTAGTTTCTTGTAGAATTTTTCAGGACGTTTGAAAAAGTGTTGATAACAATAAAAATAGTTATTCTGCTTCCGTCTGACATGGGCAGATGGCCGAGTGGTTAAGGCGCCAGGTTTAGGCCCTGGTATCGAAAGGTGCGTGGGTTCGAACCCCACTCTGCTCAAATTTGTTAAATGTTTTTTTGTATTCAATCTTTTCCTGGAACAAAGAGTGGCTGATTAAAAGATGGTCTTTTTTCTGTTGTATTTTCAGTTTATCATGATTGGGAGGGCACGTCAATGTATGTTTGTCCAAAATACAATTGAAAATATAATTTATTATCAGTTTCAAATCTTATTCTATATCAAAATTTAATTCTGTGAAGTACAGTGCAATTGGGTCCTGTGAAGTACAGTAATTGAAAGAATTTAGAAACATTTAGTAATAAAATCATGAGTTCTGCTGCAATCAAGATGTGCTCAACTTTTTGAGTATTACAAACCTGATTCTGATTTAAAATTTGTTGAATTTCTGTTGTCAAAGGGTTTTGTTTAAAACTTCAAGTTTTTTCTTTTCAGTTTCTTTTTAAACAAAGAGAAATAAAAACTATTTAAACATTTTCTTGTGCAATTTATGTAGTTGAAATTCTGAAATTGCAGTTTTTCTTTTAGTCTCTATTGTTTCCCAAAATAAGATGGCTCAGAAAACACACTTCAGCACCACTTTGTTGATAGCCAACTTCAGTTGTTGGCTATGTGAATTCAAGAATCTTCTATTGTTTTTTAGAGCTTAAGAAACATTGCACAGTTGTTTCCCATAGGGTATGTGACACTTGCTTAAAAGCATTAAATCTGTAAAAATGTTACCTCTGTCAACTACACAAACTGTGATCTTATCTATGGTTGACAAATTAGGCTTACTTGAAGCAGGAGGTCATTTAAACAATGCAGCACTAGGTGTATCCTGTATACTCAAATCCCTTTACATGCTTGCCAAGCATAAGATAGCCACTTTGGCCACTTTCAGAGTTATTATGGAGAAAAAAAAGTTTGAGACCAATAAACTTATGGATTGACCCAATTCCTTCTACCAGACAGCACCTTTACCCTACACTACCAATTTTGGCACAATTTGATAGTTTACATGTGTTTATATATAATTTTATTTCTTTTTCTGTATACAAAAGAACTTGATGGATTCAAGTTGGAAATTCTAAAATGTTTCCAAGTGCATTGACTTAGCCACAAGTCAGCACTTTTCAACAAAATTTAATACCAATTTCAGTGCTGCAAACTGTGCAAAAAATGGATTTAAATTCATGAAATAAAAAAGGTGTAATAACAAAAAAACAGCAAACAGATGATGCAGAAAAAAAATTAATTTTTTATGGCAAATATTTTCTAAATCAAAATTCAGTGTCAATTTCAATGCCACAAATTTCACAATAAATGAGTTAATATTGAAAACGTTGAAGTAAGTAATTCCAAATTTTTCCAATGTCTTAAAATCATCAATTTTCTTTCTTTTCATCAGAAATAATATTTTGGAACCCTTCTTTTGAGTTTTTCTCTGTCCATATTCTCTTGCTGTTGTTACTTGAATAATTTTTATGTTTTGTGGGGCAAGTGTTGGATAGTTCTTGTTGAAGTTTTGGTGACTCTCTAGTAAAAGTTAAAAGAACAAAACAAGTAATACAACTAAAATCATAAATAAATAAAAAATACTTTATTATTTTTATTTTTATTCAGATTAAATAAATAAATAATTGAATATTGTTATTTGTGTCCTCTTCTCTTCTTTACTTTGTTTATCTTTATTCTCTTATTTCCTACTCTTTTACTTTCTTATTTCTTTATCTGATCTCATATTTGATTCTTCTTCTCTTTTTGCCTTTTATGATGGTTTTGGGTTTTTGGGAAGAAGTTGGGACTTTATAGTTTTCTGGTTTGTGGGATTTCAAATTCAATGTGGGGGAGTTGAAACTGAAACTGGATTGACCAATAGAAATTGGAGGCTGAGAATTGCACAATGATGATGCAACAAAATGGGTATTTAAAGGGCTGAAAAGCAGGACTTTCTTTCTTTTAGTTTTGTTGCTCTTAGCTGCTGTTTCAGAAGATCCCAGGTAGGTTGCTAACTAATCCAATTTAACACTATCAGAACAAGTTTTTCACAAGAAAATCCCCCCAATTTATTAATTGAAAGTACTGTTGTAAAGAGAACAAAATAAAGATTTGGGCTCTTTAGATGGTGAAATGAACAGGCCCATAAAACTACACTAAAGTCACTGATCCACACTGGCATCCAATTCATCTTCCAACAATTTTCCACATGTTTGGCTGAGAATACAGTAATTCCATTGAATTTGAATGTTGTGAGACCATTCCTGCAAATTTCCTCAACTCCTTTCTTATTCAGTTGAGCCATTGATAACAGGCTGACAATCAAGTAGAAGTAACAAATTTCAACTATGGATCCATCAGGATTGTTAAATAAGATGGATCCTTTTCCCAGAATGTTCAGTTTGGAATGATCAGCCAAATAGACAACATTTTTGCATGTTGTAAAGTTCAAGAGCAATTCATGGTGATGAGTGTAGTGTTTGGCAGCACCAGTATCCTTATACCATGGGACATTGTTGACATGCATAACAAGTGTAGAGCTGGCCTCAAAAGCATAGTCACTAGTATCAAGCTTGTATTCACGCAATTTGTCATCATTAGAGCTGTAGTTCCCGGTGATCTTCCTTTTCTCTTCATAGTAGCAATTTTTAGCCTTCTTGTCAGGACATTTGAAAGGTGTGTGTCCAGGCTTTTTGCATACATAGCAGATGATTCCAGGTGGTTTCTTCTCCACAGCATTGAAAGCACCCAGTCTGCAAAACTTTGGCTTGTTGTGCTTGGAGAACTTGTTAATTCAACAGACTGCTCCATTAGACATTGTTTGATTTTATTAATTCTCAAAGATCCCTCATCCAGTGTCTTCAGTGATTTTACAGTAGAGTGCAATTCAGATCCTTCAGGAATAGAATGTGGAGTAGCCACAATCAGAAGTTGATCAATGTCAAATGTTCCACTGGATTTAATAGTGTTAACATCAGAAACCAATGATGAAAGGTGTGTTGCCATGCAGAACAAGGCTTGTAACAAGTATCAAACAGTTTGTTGATCAAACTAAGCCTAGTAGCAGTGAAGCTGAGGGTAAATTGGTCCTGTAGCTTTTTCCACATTTGATACACCATTGGTGGCTCAGAGATAAGGCCTAAGACTGATTGATCAATTTTGTTAATGAGATATGATCTAACAATGGCTTAATGCTTGTAACAAGTTTTGGCCTGTTCTTCAAGCATTTCCTTGACAGCATCAGAGTCTCCATGTTCTAGGATGAGATTTTCACAATTAATAATGTGGAGTGTCTCCTTGCCTTCAATATTGATTCAAAACTTCAAAGAAAGAACTGGCCAGTTGGCCAGAGATGAATCGAAATCTGAAATAGTGTTGTAAGCTTCTTCACTTATTTTGGTGAATTGGAGCAGATAATTTGCTAAAATAGCCCAAGTAGACTTTAATGCTAATGTATTTGATGGCAACTCTGTCAATTCAAGACAGTGCCAGCTAAACACAAAGATAATAACAACAAAACTAAAAGAAAGAAAGTCCTGCTTTTCAGCCCTTTTAATACCCATTTTGTTGCATCATCATTGTGCAATTCTCAGCCTCCAATTTCTATTGGTCAATCCAGTTTCAGTTTCAACTCCCCCACATTGAATTTGAAATCCCACAAACCAGAAAACTATAAAGTCCCAACTTCTTCCCAAAAACCCAAAACCATCATAAAAGGCAAAAAGAGAAGAAGAATCAAATATGAGATCAGTCAGATAAAGAAATAAGAAAGTATAACATATAAAATATAAAATATAAAAGAATAAAGAATAGGCATGTGGTGAACCAAATAATGAAGAGAAGAGAATGTAAAATAGCCAAACTCAATCAAATATAAATATAAATTTTATTTCTTCTTTTGTTCATACTTTCAAGTGCATTTTGACTCAGCACTTTTCCACAGTAAGTAAGATTTTTAATCTGTGTGGATCCACATAAAATAAATTGATTTGGCAGATGTATATTGGGATATACTGCTCTGTATGGTATTTTAGTTGCCAAAACTTGAAAACATTCCAAGTGGACAAAATAAAAAATCCATTTTTTTTTATGAAATCTTACAAAATTATATGATCAATGTATATTATTTAATTTTACCAGTTTTGAAATGGAACAGACACAGGATTCTTGAGAAATAGATTAGTGAATTGAATATTTTCTGTAGGCATTTTTTTGATAAATGGATTGGAAGAAAACCACAAAAAAGTGCAATATCAATTCAAATTCAATCAGAATTCACTATATATGAACATTATTTTTTGTTTTGGGTCACATTTTTCATTGTTACATGTTCAAAAAAATTTAAAAAAAAATTTAAAAAGTTCTCCCAGTTGCAACTCAAAAGAAAATTAAATTTGAGATACATATTACTAATTTTACTTGATAAAAAATAAGCCAAGCCAAGTTCAAAACTTTTTTTTTCTTTCCAATTTTTTGTTGTATTATCATCGCCAAATATTTGGTAAATTAAGCTTAAAAATAATATTTGTTGTTATTCTTTTGTTGTGATCAATAAAAGTAGCAAAATTTCTATAACTTGTTTTCTAGAACAGTATCAACTGTAATTTTCAGGAACCAAAGATTAGCTAATAAAAACTCAATTTTTATTCCTTTACGCAAGCTTGCTGTTGAAGTCTGCATTTTAACTTTCACTATTTCAGTGTCAGAGAGTATGAGCAATTTTAATTTTGGACATTAAATTATTATGTTATTCATTAAAGAAAATTCCACACAATGAAAAATCGAAACTTGATCTTTCTCCCTCATCTCACATTCCTATTCTGCTCACATACGCCAATTTCATTTATAGTATTTAGAGATAAAGATGGAATGATAATCTTCAGTAAAAAGGAAAGATCTCTTCTATTATCTAATCCCTAATGAATAAAATTATGTATCCATGTTCAGCTTGAATATCAAATACTCAACACTTGCTGTAGCACAAACTGAGCAGTCAAACTTTCACATCTCGCCAAAATCCATTTCCAACATCAAAATTAAAATTGAAAAAATCACACCACAA